AATAATCATTTTTAACGATGATATGAGAAATATTAAAAAAAAACATAGCTGAAAATTGAAAGCATCCATGTCAATTGTCTCTCTCGTGTTAAGAAAAGATATGTGATGGACAAATTATCACTCTCGTGTGGATATATGTCTGTCAATTCTCACTTAAAAGAGAAAGATCATTACATGAAACATCCTTCGTTTTGGATATCAATGATTTTGTACTTTATCTTAATCTTATTAGAATAAAAAATGAAATCATGTTCTAATTGGGTTAAAAATTGTGTCAAACTTGTATTTTTAAATAGAAGAAAAAAAGTACACAACTTTTTAATGAGAATTTTATCGACAAATAAGTCGTAGTCATTTCGTTTGTTTTTCTTTTTATGACTAAAATAAAATGAAGCACTACTTGAAGAGAGTAAACTAGATATGACTTCACTTTATGAATGATCACAAGGCATGAGAAACACTCAGTCTACTTCACTGATTGAACTCATATATTTATTTGTGTGCGCGATTTACTGTCGGTCAATACATAAAAAACTTATTCCAATTAGCTTTTTTTCTTTTATGAGGATTTACTTTCAAGTGATTATTTTGAAGAAGAAAGATGAACAAAGGAGTAGAAATTACGACAATCAATCTATCGTCAGAACGAAAAATTCCAATAAAACTTCCAAACGTAACATAACACCACCTAATACAAAATATTTGGAAACTTGATATTCTCAAGTGAAATAAAAACCTGTCAATTCTTTAAACCAAACATTTATATAGCAAACGGCTCATTGTACAAAAATAAATAATGTTTATCATCGATTGTAAATTTTTGTGATGGCATAGAAGTTTCTATTCCAAAACGTCGAAAGCATAAAGTCTTAAGAGATAAATGTTTAATGAAATTGGGGCAACATTATGATGAAGGTCGTATTAATATTTCGGTGTTTTATACAGCTGTTGAATTGAGATATTTTTAACATCTATCAAAAAGTTAAACAGCCATCAGCCGTTGCGTTTTTGTTCATATATTTATTCAAATTCTTTTTGTTTATTCGGACAATATAATGATTATCGCATTTTCTACTCATTTGTTCATTTCTTTTTATTCAAAATATTCAACAGAGAGTAAATTCTTACAAAAGAAAAACACTAATTGGAATAATTTTTTAATAAATAATAGACAGTAAATTATGTAAACCATACTTATATACCAAAGTGGACGATACTGACTAATTTGAGCACAAAAAACTTAGTTGTACATGAAACGAGTAGTAGCTAAGGAAGAAAGAAAACAACTAGCTTACTATTTCGGTAGCTAACAATGAAAAAAATCTTTATTTCAATGCCTAAAATATTACGTGGAACCGAAATCATTAAATCATCAGATAGATACGAAAGTTTTAAATGTATTTTGAGAAATTTTCACTATATTATACATATATACTAAAATCTATAAGCTGAAGAATGAAAAAGTGAGGATTTTTCGATATAAATTTAAAAGTTTTTATATTTGTCTAGTGATTTAATGCTTCCGATTCTAGTTTTTTGAAACCGCCGAAGTATAGTGATGCCCCTTTCCCGTAAATATTGGTCGTATCGAATCAGCCCTAACGACACCCGAGTAAAAATTTCTTTAAAAGCAGCTTATCATGTCATATGACGAGTATCAAATTTTTAATACAGTCAAAATACTTGATGAAATTCATACAATAATACAACAACATAAAGTCTCAAAATATTGAGATAAGACTGTATGGACATGATTCGTGTTTTCACCGAGAACCGTACGAATCCAACCAATCCCTCGTTTCGGTCGGACACGATTAAAAAATGTCAAAAACTATCCTGGTATGTTTAGATTTTCGTTCGAATCTCTCCTACATAACCGACTTGAAAGTTAATTTCCATCACTCAAGAACCAAAAAACATTTTGTTCGTGTAACAAACCTTTTATTTCTACGTTAAAGCATGGAGTCACATAGTGTTTCTCGAAAAGCGCGAACTGTACTCACCTCTGTGTACACTCTCTAGTCTACCGTATATTTTGTGTTCTGTCATTGCTGAAAATGAAAAAAACATTTGAATGTATAGATTTATAATAGATTCGGACGTAGAGACAAGGGCGTAGGAAAAGAGTGTACAGATCTGAACATATAGAAAAGAAAATTTGAAATCTAAAGTATGATTTTGTATGACATTCAGACAAGTATTTTATTTCTTTCAGAGTAGTTTTGTTATTCTTTTTGTCCACATTTATTGAAGAAATAAAAGAGACGGATTATGTCGCCTATATATTTGTATTTATTTAAAACATGACAAATTTATCGCTCAAATGACATTCTTTTTCTAAAGATTTACTTTCATGATGTAGATAAGTGCATACGTTTACTATATTCATCATCAATGAATTTTTATTTTTCCATGTAAAAAATAAATCTATCAATTGATGAAGTGACATACGAAAACTACTGTTTGCAAATATTAATAAAAGAAAAACTTTTCAAAAAAGGATATCACATTATAGTAATCAACTAACAAGGACATGTCTCCAAGTAGTAAATTGTTTAGCGAGCTGAGACTATATTCATCGATAGAGTCTGGTGAGTTAATAAATATCCTAGAGTAATTCGAGCTATTCGACCTTTGTTACTGAGATACCGAATGTTCAGTGAATTTTTTCTGTAGGGCATCAATTTTCAAGTGAAATCATACTTAAAAATTTTGATGTAAAACTTTGCTCACACAAAGGTATCGATTAGACTAGCTTGTAGAAAAAATTTCAGAATTTTTCTATCAAGTATTTTCAAGATACGATTTGTTCACAATATCCATGTTCATAGTAGAACGTCTATTTTTTAAAAAATGCATATCTTAGAGAGACTTAAATTAAAAAATTATAAAATTTTCTCTACCAACTAGTCTAATCGGTACGTTTATTTGAGCAATTTTTCATGTGAAAATTCAAAAGTATAATTTTGCTTGAAAATTAGAATGCTACAGAAAAAATTCAATATCTTATCAATTAAGTCTTAGCAGCTTGAATTACTCTAGAGGATTTACTTACTCGCTAGACCATATTGATTGAATATAATATCTAGCTTAAAAGTGATTCATCACTTGGGAACGTTCGATCATCGAACATTTACGAGAATATTCTTGTATTAACCACAAAAGTTAATGATAAAAGAATTTGTATATTTTATGACTAATCTAAATAATAAATTATGGAAATTATATGAACGTCGTATTTGATTGATAATTGATTTATTTTCTAATTAAATAAGTGATCAGTTTGTTGTTAGAATATTCTAATTCATTCTTCTATTTTTTCTACTGTCTTTCTTTCTTTCTCTCGATAAACATTAAAAAAAAGAAAATTGTTTTGAAATAACTAAAAAGCTTTACTTACTGTCTTTTCTTACAAACAGTGAATTTTATAAATATAATAATTGATTATTGAATTGTTTTTAATATAACAGTAAAATTCAAGTGTTATTTGGTCCAAAAATATATTCAACAATTAACTTATATCATAGCTACGTCAACTTGAATGATTTATGATTTTTTTTTCTTCTCTTTTCCTTTCCTTGTTTTTTTTACTGCAACCCTTATCTCGCTTCTCTTCTTTCCTAGTTATTCTTGATAATGCCCTAGGATGTTTTCTTCCTCTATTTTTCTGCTTTCTTATTGACCGGATGTACAAAAATGGTACACATCACATACCCTTATGAGTATGTTTCGGCTGCGTTAAGAAACAGAACACAAAAGAAGAATTGCTTTGTTGATTTAGGAACGTGCTATGACACATCCGAAGAAATAGATAATGTAATTTTTGGTCTATACTAACGAAGTTAATCTTCTTCCGGGGTATTTATTTGTTCTAGATATGTTTAACTACTTATAAAGAGAAAAATTGATTGTTACAGATCAACAGGAACAATTTCAATCCATGTAAAATTACTAACAGATTAATAAAAAAAAATAACCCTAAGAAAACAACATATATGTATATATACATACATATCATTTGTTTTCAATTTAATTATGAAACGAACAGGAAAAGTTTTTCTTTTCATAGTAATCAAAAACAGAATGTCTTTTTTCTTGTAACTCAAGTGTTAAGCAAATCAATGTCACGTTTTTTTTTCCATTACCAAGCTTTGTCAACTATTTGTATAAATAAAATTTCCATTTGCTTGATCATTTACTCAATGTTCTTCGTTGAAATCTTACATGAAGAAAATGTTCTTTTTAAAAGATATTTCAAATTAAAGACAAACAAATTTTCTATGCACGCACAAGTGCAACACTTTTCGTTACGGACACTGCAATTAATGATAAATCACGATAGCGTTTTTTTTTAATTCGAAAAAGCATTGATAGAGACTAACGACTTATGGATCATGTTAATATAACTACCAGAATTGAGAGAATGATATATATTTAATTACTTACTATTATATTTTGCATCTACGTAAAGTTTAAATATAATTATCGTCATCAGATTGATGCAAAATAACGCATAATTAAAAAAAAAGAAGTTTTCTGCCATAGAGAAGACTCGTTGAGGCATGCAAAAAGAATAGAGTACTGAAGTTTACTTTTCAGCATAGGATTTTTGTCTCTTTCTTTCCTTTTTTTTGAAAAGATTAATCAACGGCAAAGATTATTTTCTTTTGCGTTCTGTGAAGCAGTAAAATTCATTTGTGTGAATTAATATAATGCATTGAAAGAACGAATCATTGTCGAAATAAAAATGTATTATTGACATGTAGTATGGCAAAACAAAAAACAAAGGAATTTTTATTTGATTATAACGAACCCTCAATTCAACTTTGTGATTCATTGATTGCATGGCAGATTGTTTAATACAATAGAATATTCTTTTTTTTTCGGCTGTTCAATATAGATTTTATTCGATAAATTTCACCTTTATCGTTGGTCAACATTTCTCAAACAACAAAACTACATTAAAGTTATTCATATTTCTTTGTAACTAAGTCAAATATTTACAAAGAAGCATTTTTCTTTCCAAGTCGGAAATGCATGGCTGCAGCACGTTTACCAAAACGATAAGGCATAGTGGCTCGTTTACCAAATCGATAAGGCAAGGTAGCTCGTTTTCCAAATCGATAAGGTATAGCCCAAAGACGACTATCACCAAAATGTATAGTCGGATTACTAGCACGAGCATTTATCTTTGCATAACGTTCGTTATCTATTTGAGGCCATATTGCTTGATTATGTTGATGTCGATGATTATTATTATTATGATTATGTTCTTCACCACTATTGTTAGTAGTTAAATCTTCATCATTACTCGGTGTAAGATGATTTGAATCATCAATAGTTTGATAATGATGAATAAAAGCAGGACTTTGATGTTGCTAATAAGAAAAAATAAAACTTAAATGATAGAAATTTTTAAATATAAACAAAACAAACTTCATCATTAGCAGACTGTGTTACTTGTTCAACTACTTGTGGCATCTGTTTTGTTTCCGTAAGTGTAACCATTAGAAGAACAACTATGGATAGTTGTAAGAAAACGAAACTTGTTATTATCATCATGTTGGATTATATCTTTGAAAAATAGGAGAAAAATCTATGAGATAAAAAGAATAGCTAAAAAACAGAAGAAAGAAAATCTAATATCGCAATTAAACACATATATATATAGGAAATAAACTATATGAACTTTTTGTTTTAGACATTCTACTCTAGATAATTTAATTAAAAAATAAAACATCCATTCAATGAGTCTTCATAATTCTGGCCGTCAATATCCGTAGCCCTTATAGCTCAGTGGTAGAGCGCCAGTCTTGTAAACTGGAGGTCCGTAGTTCAATCCTGCGTGGGGGCATCTTCTTTTTCTCTTTTTCAGACATTTTTCTCGTGCACATTCTGTCTTCCTCTTGTACATGCACGAATCAATTTAGGTTTCATTAGTGGCAGCTGACACCAAATCAAATATTAAAAAAACCTTGCAGACATTGACATGGTAAAGTGCTTCATAGAATATGTAACTGTCTTTCGAAATAAAAACAAACTCATTGAAACTTTTTTATATACAGTAAATCGTGAAAAGAAAATAGCAACAATCTTTTTTTGAAGTTTGTTTTTTTCGTTCCTAGTGTCAATAGTAAAACTCTATTTTTCTATTAGTTTTAATCACAACTTCTGAAAAATCATGATTTTATTACTTATCTCAAGATTACCAGTACCAATGAAATCTTCAGCTTTCTATTTAAAAAAAAACGATCGTAGCTAAATCGATGAATACATAAATAAAATGATATATGACGTGATCGAATACGAAGATATATATATTTTCTCTTGTCACTTTCTAGAAGAATAGATTGATGAGCTAAGAAATAATTCTCAATGATTTCTTCTTCTCTCTTTTTTTTCTGATAGTGATAACAAGTTGAATTTCTAAGAAGATAGATGAGATGAGAAAGTTTCTTTTTTTTTTCTTCGAATAATTATTCAACGAAATAAAAAGAAAAAAATCTCAACTTGTCAAAACAATAGAGATGATGATACTAATGCGTGTTGAGTGCAAGTAGTGCTTGTTAAACTTATTAATTGGATACATTACGCGATAGCGCAATTTATGGTGGCCAAATATAGAAAAAACAGATAGTCAGAAGAGTTCAGCTTTTCTCGAAATAAATCATCAAGCTTTTGTTGACAGCTAAAAGAAAAATAGGACAAATAGTAGAACATTTAATATATGAACTTTTATAGAAAGATTTATGTTAATAAAAAAAACACAAATATTGTCTTTATGTTTTTAATAATGATATATTAACAGACAAAAAATCTTCTTTACAAGAAAAATAATAAATTATAAGTTATTTTATTTGAAAAATAATTTCTTAATTTCTAACTGATCTTTTCTTTTTCTAATAAGACAATCACTATGTACAAATTCACATGTTTCTACATTTATAATCGAGACGAAGCATTCGGGCACTGTATGGTATTCATCGTGCACCCATTATCATATATAATTCACCTTGCCGTTATATTTTTTTTCTTCGCTGTTCTCTCTCTCTCTCTCACACTCTCGTCTATATATTAAAATATCAACCTACATTTAGTCTTTTACAGTAAGTCGTACACACATTTGTATACGATGACCTCTGATTTTGATTCAACAGATCACCCAGGTATTTGTTTTCTTCTATAATTAGCATGACTATGCAATCAATTATAGATCGACCATCCTTATTGTCTGCTTCAAGTGGTTATGAAAACTATCGAGGTTTTCTTAATCTTCTTTATGTTATATTGGGAATAGGAAGTTTTCATCTTGTTATTGAAAATATTCTTAAGTATGGATTATTAGTTGAGTTTGATTGGCCATTAAGATTTTTAAAAGATCCAACTAATTGGCCATCAGTATGTTGTTTTGAATAATAAGAGTGTTTAGTTTTATTTTGTTTTTTTTGTTCAATATCTTCTAGGTATTTCTTATTCTATTGAGTAATTTATTTATATTATTTCAATTTTGGCTTGAAATAAAATTAAGTAAAATATCATTATTTAAAAAGCCTTTAATATTATTTCAAATACTTAATCTTTGTTTAATACTTATTTTTCCTGTTATTTATATATATCATCGTCAACCAAATTCTGCAGGTGCTTTTATAGCTGTATGTCTTTATTCGATTGTATTTTTAAAATTAGTTTCATATACACATATTAATTATCAATGTCGTATAGGTTTATTAAATAAAAAACAAGATAATTTAAATTCTTTTATCATATCTGAAGGTCCAATAATTTATCCAAATAATTTAACGATTAAAAATCTTTATTATTTTTTATTTGCACCAACACTTTGTTATGAATTAAATTTTCCACGTTCACCATGTATACGTAAAAGTTTTTTATTTCGACGTTTGGTTGAAATACTTGTTATTTGTTCATTACAATATTGTTTAAGTCAACAATGGATATTACCTATATTACGTACACTTGATCGACCACTTTATCAATATACTTTATTAGAAAATATTGAACGTCTTTTACGTTTATCATTACCAAATCATTTAATATGGTTATTATTATTTTATGTTTATTTTCATTCAACATTAAATTTACTTGCTGAATTATTATGTTTTGGTGATAGATTATTTTATCGTGATTGGTGGAATGCAACTGATTTATATGAATTTTGGAATAGATGGAATACAAGTGTACATGATTTTTGTAAAAGACATATTTATTATCCATTAATTAGTCATTTTGGTTTAAGTAAATCTCTTGGTTCACTTGTTGTTTTTGTAATAAGTGCTTTTTTTCATGAGGTAATTCAAGAGAATCGTTTTTTCGTTTATGTTCAGAGAAGATTTAATGATTTTTTTTTTGTTTTGATCTATTTAGTATTTAATTAGTGTTCCATTACGTATGATCCGTCCATGGAGTTTTCTTGCTATAATATTACAAGTTCCAATAGGTTTAGCTGTTAAACGTGTAAAAGGTGAAAATAAAACTTATGGAAATGTGGTTGTATGGATATCACTTATACTTATTCAACCAATTGCTATTCTACTCTATATTCAAGATTTATTTTATAGAGACTTTGTAAATCATTAGTTTAATTGTAGTTTATAGTTTTTTTTGTTATTTCCGTTAGAAAATATATTTAAAAGAAAAAAAAGCAAACAAACAAATTTCTAGATGGATAAGACTAATAGAATAACTGGAAAAAA